AAAACAAGACCGACCTTGAGATGTTTCATTATGATTTCATTGCTTCTAGTGGTTTTATTGGGTTTTACCACTAGGCTATTAAAAGCATGTGGAGATTAGACAGAACTAAGTCAAACTGAGTATTTTCAACCCTAATCTTCCATCTTCTTTTCCATTTAAATATTTTAAATAGTTCTTCTATATTTCATGACTCTTGTTGAAAACAAAGTACAGAGATTTGGATAGTCTATATTTTATTTAGAGTTTATTCAGGAAATGTATGATCTTTGTTTTAGAATAAATCATTCAATCTTCTCAGGGTTTTTTAATAGAAAAAAAGCATTTATCTGACATGAAATCATTCCTAACCAAATATCTGGGGAACGAGGAATCCGGATGGACAGGATGGATCAGGCCAGCACTGTGGTTGGAGCTAGCTCCAGCAGAAAGTTCAGAAAGAAAGGCTCAAAGCTCTCTAATGGAGAGAATTTCCCCTGTGACTGCTCATTCTTAGCTGTTTTCTCACTGGTGCAGTGCACAGGACTGATGTACAGCTCCAGACTGTTCTTTTTGAGCAAGTAATCTGCAGCTCTGCAGAGCAAATTTCACAAAAGGTCTTAGAGATTATTTGTGTCCAGATGTTTTGTTTATCTCCTCTCTGAAAGCAGGTGGGAACAATCTGGAAGACTCACTTCAGTTGTTTCTGCCTGGTTTGGCACTGGAAGATTCACTTTGGTTTTTCCTACCTGCTTTACAGAGAGAGAAGGAACAATCGAAGTGAGCCTTCCAGTGCCAGCTCTTTTAAGCTGTGGATGATGAGGGTGCCTCAGTGCAGCAACTCTCCTGTCTTCAGCACATCAGTAGTGCTTTGAGTTTTATCCCACTACTGCATTTGAATTAAACAGAACTAAAACAGAGGTCCACCGCAAAGAAGGGGAGATCTGGAGTACTATTTAAGTAATCAGTCAAAGTTAATTTAATCCTGCGTAAAAAATATATCCTAAGTAAAGAGGTTTTAAAGCTAATTTCTTTGATGACTGAACAAACACACAAGTAATAAAAGCACGAGACTCATTCATTTCAAACTCATTCATTTCATTTCAGCAACTGGAGCTGAGAATACTGCAAATCAATCTCAGTTTTTATCAGAAGCAATGTTCTTGGCAGCATCATAATCATATGCTAAAAACAGATTCTGGAACTACCATGGGGAAAACTTGAGATAGACTGTATAACTGCATTAAAACAGCCTTTGCCTGATTCAAAACCATTTGAAGAAGGACTTTATTGATGGACTGTTTAATGTCCTTGGATACTACTGAAGAATTTTTATGGAAACACTTTGTATACTGGATTATTAGAACACATTTATCATCCATCCTCCACATACATCTCACAGCTGGCTGACTTTACAATGGCACTATGAATCAGAGCTACAGGGCACACCAGTATTTTCCTCACTAAGTGAGATGGAGTTCTTTAGGGAATTTACTCACTGTTCTTATGTTAGCAACATAGTAAAGCAAGTACAATGACCTTCATAAATTAATCCCATTAGACAAGGAAGTATCTTGAAAAAACAAGGCTAAATTCATATTATATAAAACTCTTTATGTTTAAGCTTTTAGGACAACTGTTCTCAAACCCAAGAAGAAAGACTCACCAATACTACAGTATAGAATAAAATAAATTACTAGAATATTGGGCTGTATCATAGAAGCTTTCCAAGAGACTGCTTCCCATCAAAAATATTATTTGTGAAATATGTTTTTATTCTCATTACTTTTTTTCTAAGCAAAATATGTAAGAACGTTAGTGGGCCCAGTCAACATGGTGACAAATAGCATCATAAACTAAACTCTACAAGACCTTAGAGCAGCATTCCAGTACCTAAAGGTGCCTACAAGAAAGCTGCAGAGGAACATTTTACAAGGGCACGTAGGGGTAGGATGAAGGAGAATAACTACTGGGAACCACTGCTGAAAGAGAACAATCATGACACTTCGATCATGGCCCTCCTGCTTCCCCACTGTGCGGGCCACTGAGGAGCAGAAGAAATGGCAGTTGGGTCCCAGGGGGGAGGACACTTCCTATTCTCATTCCCTTTGTTAATGCAGGTCCATAGCCTCACTCCTGCACATACCTGACTTCTGCCACTCCAGATCCTCAGCCTTTTCAGGCAGAAGTCCCCTCTATCCATCCTGCAAAGCAGCAGAAGGGGAGAGGGTTTGTACCACAGATGCCTTAGGAGCAGGCCTGCCACCCCGACTCTTCAGCGTCTGCAGGAGTTGGATGATCCTTTCCCCAGCTGCCCTTTCAACAGACAATCCTGTAGGACTTATGGGAGGGAGCTAAGAAAAACAGTCTCCAAGTCCCCAGAGCAGTTATTCTTTTGTTCAGATGATCCAGTAAATCTTCAGCCCCCCCAGGCATGACTGCCTGACCCAGAGCTGGCTGCGAGGAGGGCGGTTGGCAGCTCTCGAGGGAAGCAGCCCTGCAGAGATGCTGTGTTGCTGCCAGCAGGCTGCAGTTTTCGTTAGGAGCTGCTCCCGCTGCCCCAAGGGAGCACTTTGCAGCCTCCCTCCTGCCCCACCACATCCCCCTTCAAATTGACTTCAAAGTTTTCCTTTGGAGTTCTTTTGTTTCTTTCTTAACTCATTTTTCCCTGGAAGAGTATCTACTTACTGTATAAAGCACCTCTTTTTCATTAAACACAACACTTAAACCCCAAACACCACACAGCATGGTGTGTCAAGGCCCTCAGGGCACAGCAGGGGCCCCCTCACCACACCACAATGGCGCTTGGCCTCCCCAGCCCCTCACCCTGCCTCCCTCCCTGGCAGCATGGCTGCTGGTGTTCCCCACAACTCACCCTGCCTGCCAGCCGAGGGCTGCTGGTCACCCATGAGGTCCTGTTGCTCCTTGAAGAAGGGCTCACAGGGAGCCATCTTGGAAGATGGGTGCCTCAGGCTTGTGCCAGGGAGCCATCTTGGAGGAGCAAACAGCCTTGTGTCACTTCCCTCTCCACAGAGGAGCCGCCATGGCCGCTTCTCTCCTCACAGCAGGCGGGACGGCGCCAGCTCCTTTGTGAGGCCTTTTTGCCCATTTGGGGCAGGAGTGAGGAACGTGGGGAGCAGAAAGAAACAGGTCCCCCCACATCCAGTCTGACCCCCAGCGCCTCAGCATGAGCGCTGCAGCCCCCTCCCAGCACCCAGGCAGGAGAAGGGGCCGTACCCCCTTGTGAGGAGATAAAGCCTTTGAGGAAAACACTATTACCCTTGGCCTTTACTCTGAGAAGCCCCCAAGCCAGTGGGGTAAAGCGGTGTGGGGCAGGAGTGAGGGGAAGACACTGGGTGCCTCAGTCCTCGAGAGGGGATGGCCATGGGGGTGAGGAGCCTGAAGGAAGGGGTTGAGGGGAGAAGGGTCTGTCCACACTGCAGACGCAGCCAGGCTATGTGCCCCCATCTGAAATCAAAGCTCATTATCCAGGGGCTATTTCTGGCACCTCACATGCTGCGTTTGTACCCCTCTTGCTGTAAAAAATCATATCCAATCTCAAAAAGAAACCCCATTTCCCACCCAGTTTTTGCAGCTTTCTATGTAATGAGGAAACCTGGCCTTTAAAACAGCAAATAAACCTGTTTGCATACTGACCACACACGCATACAAAGCATGTGCAAATGCTTGCTTGGGAATAAAGTTGCCAACTGAATGTTTTAGACTTCACGTTTGCACTATCTCAGCCTGAAGAACTTTCTGTTCTGCACAAATCTAAGCAATTTACAGAACCAAGTTAATGAAAACAATGGTGGCAGTGGCTCTTTCTGGACCAACTTTGTGGCTTAAGAGGCCAACTTCTCAACTTTTTCACTGATGGCATTAAGAAAGTTAGACCCTTCAGATTAGCCATAAAAATATGTGGGTTTAGTTCTGGGGACTTCTGACTATTCCTCATCATCTCTCTTGATAGTCCTCTGAAAGAAAGAAACTACCATTCTGCTTTGATAGCTTTATGTCCAGTGTCATAGGTGATGATACCAGCTAAGTGAGGAACCAAGCCTGTGGTTCTCCCTCATCAATCTCCTAGACAACAATCAGTAGATATTCCTCTTGGGTTTTGAGGCTTTTACTGGGGAATGGAGGTAACTTCTTTTTTCTCCTTCCCTCTGATTGAAACCATTCTCTCCTTTAAAGGACAGATTCGGTGTGCAATTAGCTTAAAATGAACTTGGAATAGGGTTTCCTAACTCTGCTTGGCCAACAGGACATGCTGTGGGTAGGTGTCCTTTGGCAAGAGCTGTCACTTTATTAAGAAGTTGAACAGTGTATGTATCAGCCTGAAATTCTGGGCCTGATTTTACAAGGTGCTAAAATGTACCTTCACCCCTGAATTTACCACATCAGACTCTCAAGGGATTCAAAGGGAGTCTGGGGCACCTGACTTCGCACAGAACCACAGTATAAGGGGCTGCAGTTTAAAGGTAATTGCACTGTTCTCCATAAAACTGTACAAATCTGCATATTCTCAGCTTCTTCAGGAGTATAATAAATTGGTCTGTTTCACCAAAGACCAGCAAAACTTCCAGTGGGGTTTGCCGGAGAGAGCTAAATGATTTGAGCTGTATTCTGTAAAGATTTTACATAGAAATCTATCCCAAATGTCAGCTGTAAAGCTATTTTATTGCTCGGCTGTATAGCAGAAATTAAAAAAGGGGGAGGGTTTTTGCAATTTTTGGAGTAAAGTTTTGGTTTTGGTTGTTTTTTTTCAGGAAGCAATCTTTCCTTCTATGATTCACGATTGTGTTGAATTGTCTAAGGTAGGAAATACCAGCCTGAAATGACTGTCTTGTGCTATGGGAATGCAAAGAGAGAGCGTGAACTAGATCTTTTCCAGCAGGAAAAACAGCTGTTAAAAAACAGAGCCAACTGTGTTTCCAAGTAAATCCTGGAATGCAGTATGCAAAACAACATGTGCTCAATCAGAAATCCTCAAAAGAAAAGACCATTTCATCAAGCAGATGAGCTGCCTCAGGTGAAGGACATTTTAATCAAAAAAGAAACTTGCTATCCAGGTACCTCTATAGGCCTTCTTTATCTTGGTTTCTTCAATTTCCATGATTCCAACAGGAGCTGAGATTACTGAACACCATAAAATAGGTGAGGCTTTCAAAGAGTATGACAGCAGGTACTGGCTCCAGATTGGAACTAAACAAATTTCTCTTGACACTTAACAGCTTTCTCCTCAGACATCCCACACTTATCCATTTTGGTTTAGTTGTCTCACTTCTGACTCTTAATGGGAATGATCTACAATATGTGAAAGATTCTACCACATATATTAAGCTGCATATTGTTACTCAACCTTCTGGGTATACCTTCAGAGATATTTACACAATTGCCACATGGGCAAACAACACCAAGACAGAAACTTTACCAGAGCTCTGGAAAGCAGACATACAGATTTTATATATATATATTCACAAGAGCAATTGTTTCATCTTAAAACCTTTCTAAAACAGGAATACATTGCAGGCTTTGGCAGTAGAGATAAAATATTATGGGATCCAGCCTTACTTTTTTTTTCTCATCCAAATATACACATTGTTATAACAGAGGAATAGTTGCATCCAGAATTATTACTGCTGCTTGATGACCAAAATGCCTCATATACTGCTCCACACATGAAACTATTGCAAATACCCATCTTTCCTGATCAGTTACAGCTTCTTTGGGGTGGAGGAAAAGAGAAGAAGCATATACATGGTTCATTTAAAATGCAGTGACAAAAACAGCCTTTGAAGGCATGTTTCAAAACAGTCCCATATTGTTATTACAGATGGAAACAGTGAAGGAAGAGAAACAGAAGAAACAAAAGCCAGCTTTTGTGAGTTCCAGAGCAATCCCTTATGATCCTGGGTCTTGTATAAGATGATTTGGAAGCTTTGGAAAGGCATTCAGGGTCTCTCCCTGAATAAGGCACTGTAACACATTGTCTTCCATAAGCCTGGCCCAGTGCCATGACAGTTTCTGCGTAATTCATTGCACGTTTTGCTAAGTGTTCTCTGTATATCTGTAGAGATATCTACACATAGACATATGTAATTTTCCATATGCTTTCCTGCAAATCAGAAAAACAAAATCAGTTATATAATGGAATACAGAATTCAGAATATGTTAAACTTAGTACCTGCTGACATGCCACACATACCCCAAACTAAACCAGAGATGTACTGATTAAGAAGTTATGTGTACTTGAAATTTGCAGATATGAATTATTTCTTCTCTCACAAAGTTTTCATATAGCCCAGCCAGGAGGTCTAATGTTTGACTTGCCAAGCAATTTCTGCTCGTTTCAGGCCCCATTACCTTTTCAATGTATTAGCTCTATTGCTAGCAATTCCTTGTGTCATTCTCCATGACAAAAAATGTTTATTAGGGACAAAATGAAAAACTTAAACCTTTTTTTCTTTCAAGTCATAGAATTTAGACCTCCAAAAGTAGAGTAGTGTCTTGAACCTCATCATCTTTGAACACAAAATGCTTAAGAGATGCACTAAGCAGATCCCCATTTTTCTTATAGAAAAAAATTGGATAGTCTTCAAACATTATTCTCCCTTCATCTTTTCTTCTGCAGCTGAAAAGAGAAGAGATTCTTCTCTTCTAGAGAGATTGACTGGCTGGCCAGATTGCTCATGGAATACCGAGATCTTAATTTCAGTTACCAGTGCAAACTCAGCAGCAACCACCTGTAACTGCTCAGATGCCTCTCGGTGAATCTGGGTGAGGTGAGCAATGAAGACCTCACCAAGACTTATCAAAAAGCACAAAGCACAGGCTGTTGTGAGAACTGGCTACTCTGGACCAGGCATTAATCCAGCCCTACATAAGGTCTCCAAAAGTGACCTGCAGTAGATATCCTTTCCTTAAGAAATCTGCCAAGTATAGCATTATATTCCCACTCCAAGTGGTCAGTGATGTAAGGTCTGCTTGAGACAGAGGTTGTAATCTTAATGCCATGTTTAACAGACACCAATGGGTCTATCTTCTTTTAATCTGTCTAATTTTTTAATCCATTTTCAGCTCACATGGTCTTCTGCATTCAGTAAGCTTCACAGTTGGTTTGATTTTCCTTGTGAACCAGTTGCTTAAAAATATTAAAGACCTTTTCTTTTATTTTTGTTATCAGAATTACTAAATAATGACTTTCATATTTAGCTTTTGTGTCTGTTGTAGCTATAAGCAGAGGTCACTATGAACAGTCCACTTTCTTTGATAAAAACCAGATATATACTGTTTCATTTTACAAAATGACACTTTCAACCTTTCTGATTCTGCAATTCCCAGCCATGTTTTAATGGAAGTTTTTGAGTCCAGGGCTCAGACACCCACTTGTTATGTTTTAGTCATACTTGTAAATTGGAATTATTTAAACAAGAGTCTGAGAACTGGGTCCTTGATTTAACTAAACTAGAGTTGTTACCTGCCACATGATGTGACTGTGTGAATTCATGTTTTATCTCAGTTCTTCTTCCTCTTCCTCATCTTCCATTTCCTCTTCTGAGTCATCCCTATTCTTTGAACTGTTGCTGAATTCAAGGTTCCCTTCAATATCCAGGACTTGTAAGTGCTTTAGGTTTTGGAAGATACTTTCCTTCAGGGCTCCAACAGCAATCTTATTAAACCTTTAAACAAACAAAAGGGTCTTCCTGTTAAAATAAACCCATTTTCATATCCAACACAGAAACTTATAGAGTAGGAGGAAACTATTCTGCAGTTACTCTAACCCTAGTTACATTCTTATACTGACACAAGTTACTCTTAACTTTACACTGACTCACAACAGCACCCTAGGAGTACTGACTCCTCTGAATGGGAAAGGGAAGGGAAAGCAGGTTCTGATTTGCAAGCAGGCAAATGAAATGACTGAACAAAGTTTGCTGACAGCACTTTCTACCATCACAAAGGACCCTGCAGGAAAATACTGGGAAACATTAAGTATCTCTCATTGATTTCAAGTTCACTAACCAAGCTTTCAAAAACCTCCTAATTTTCTCAGCCCTTCTTCCTCCTTCTACAACTGTATTATGCAAGGAAAAAGATCATAATATTGGAATTCCACCCCCACAAATTCTTTCTGTTGGTATTCTGCTTTCTCCTTCACACAGAGCACAGGCTTCTGCTCCACAGCCCATATTTCAAAGTGTAACTTGATTTTTCATGAGATTCAGTGTCATCCCTTGATAGTTTAATTCTTCTTCCACGAAATTCAAAATACTGGCACAAAGAATCCCTTTAGAAACAAAGCAACATGCAGTAATTTTTCATCTGTTATTTGGGTTTCCAAGAACTAATCTGCAATTTAAGATGCTCTCACCTATACTGTTTGGTCTGTTACTCTTGAACAAGCTTCAAATCATATTCTGTCTAATATTCCAGATGTATATTGTTGTTTCACAGTATTGCAGTGATTAATAGCTTCCCATTAAGAAACATAGCTTGGGTGGAGTTGCCTCCTAAATACATCAGCAAAACAGTTTCGCAAATTCCTTTTTTTCTCTTTAGATAGAAATACAGAATGTGGTATGTGGTTTCTGGGCTGCATCCAAGCATTCACTAAAATCTCATAAATGTGAGCAGCTGAATAGACAGACTGCTCTAATTTACACCAGACTTTGTAATTTTATTTGCTTGGTATGGAATCGTTCACCCAAAAAGGTATGCTTCAGAACTCTCCAGCGCAGTTTAGCTGCATACAGACAAAATAAGGCCATATTTAATCTTGTGCAGCCGGCAGCCTAGGTTCTTTGAACACATCCATTGGATCAGCTTAATGAAATGTTCCGTAAGGGTTCATAGATTAATTCTAAGCAATATTTTCAGTAATGTTCAATCAGATTAAAACTGTACATATTACTGGAACAGATTCTTGCTTCACTTCTTGTGGTACTCTGCTTAAACCAGTTACATTACCATGTGTTTATACTGTATGTAAAAAAGCTCTGTATCTGTCACCTATAAAAACAAAGTCCTCATCCAGCTGACCGAATAGGATAAAAAAGCTTCTAAACTTAGCTACATAAGTTGTAACTTGCCATTTATTTCTGACAAAGCTGTCAAGGGAATGTGCACAACTCCAAGATTAGTCATTCACGCCTCGCTCAAGGGGGATTCTGTCAAAATCCAGGACACAAGAAAAGCTGTAGTGTTACAAGCAGTGTAAACTTTGAGCTCACAGCTGAAGACTGGAGTCTGACATGATGTTAAACACTAATTTCCCAGAATTTCTAACATGCCTAATCCATTCTAACAACCACAGAAAGGACACACTCTCCAAACAGAAAGCGCTTATTACGTGTAGCCATGTCTCTTTGGAGCAGATGAACACAGTTTCAGCATACATTACTAGAAAACAAAGTTGCTTATTTTGGAAGTTCGGGTTTTAAGTATTTTCCAAACAGTAAGCCATTATAAAGTGGAGGAAGAATTAAAAACCTTGTGTGTTGAAGTGGAAACTTGACCTTACCTGAGGTAAATCCCCTTTATTTTGGGTGTGGATTCAAAAGCACTCTCTGAAATTGTTGTGATCTTGTTGTTCTGAAGATAGAGATACTCCAGAGATTCTGGCAGGTCTGATGGGATAGCAGTCAGCTGGTTGCCAGCCATGTCTAGTGACTGCAAGAAACAGACAAGGGGTCAAATAAATGGCTGAATTTAAATATTGTGCATTCCAAAAAGAGATCTGACAACAAATGAGCTTCCAAAGGCTAGCTCTATACACACTCCCTCCTGCTTTGGAAGTTTATCCATTGTTTTATATATATATCTACACACACACACACATACATACATTTAAGTCTATAAAAATACCTGTATGTATATATATGCACTTATAGAAAACTTAGCACATTAACACTGCATAAGTGAGATGTTTATGCAAAGCTTATCCAGGATTTGTTGTGTCTGAAAATCATCTGGAAATAGGCTCTATTTTGCAGATGGCACTTTGGTGAGTCTGCTGCAGAACCTCTCCCTTCTGGTGAGGTCAGGCAAACACAAACACTGTGTGTACAACGGCAATTGCAGATTGGCAGCCATGCAAAAAGGTGCAGTTTGAGTTTGTGGTGGAAAAACTGAAGTGATATTTATTATAGTATACACCAATTTAAACCACCTCTAATTTGCATCAAGGTTAAGTGCGGGCATCACAATTCTGATCTCTTACACTACAATTTAGCACCATGATTTCGCATGAGACATCATGTTGTTTTGTTCAGGAGTCCCAGTGTTTTTTTCCCCCAAGCTTTAGCCCATGCCTGCTTTACATGAATTAAAAGCAGACTGGGTTTTCAGATTTGCACGAGAAGTCACTGGAAAATGCTGCTGCTGCTGCAAACACTTCCCTAGCTAAGGTTAGTGACTAGAGTTACACATAAAAACATCTGCAAATATTCTAACATGAAGACTGTATGAAAACACCAGGACTAAAGGCCAGGGATTTTAAACAAGAAAATGGATCAACAGAAGTGTTTTGTTATCCTGTATTGTGGCATTTTCATTGCACCAAGTGACACGCTAGTTGCACATTATTCAAAGCTATACTTCTGCAAACGACTGTCATGATTTCAGTGCGTTTATTCCCCACATAATCCTAATGTGTCAAACAATTATGTAAATGTCTGGCTCTGCAATTGCAGATAGTCTTCAGTGATTTCCATGTAAACAGTGTGGACCTAAGCATATGCTAAGTACATGCACCATCAGGATCTTATGTGATGGATGTTTTCAAATCCACTCCAGTGCACCAGCTCATAAAACAATGGCACACCTAAGCCTTTAACATTAAAAAGATTCATAATATACTATCATGGAAATAAATTACAAGTAGGAATGCTGTTCCAGAAAAAAGCAACAGCCAAAAATGTGCCATTAGTCTAATCAGATTTTAAGTATGTGCTATTATCTTAACCTTATTTAACATGAACAGGGTTTGAGGTGGGGTAGGCACAACTGAAAGACCAATGTTTGATACAGCAACACTGACACTGACTAACAGGGAGTGACAGTAGAATAAAAATAACATGAAGGAACTATGAATCAGGCCTTTTGAGAACAAGAGCTTGTCATTCCAACCAACAACCAACGCTGCCTAACAGGTCTCCTGACCCATTTTTGTTTGAAGGAAGACCCAACCCAAATGACAGTGCCTATCAATTCCAGAATCTGTGTTTCTCAAAAGCATCTTCCTTCCAGGATTCTTTTCATCTTAGATGTATTCGCATGCACACATACATACATAACACCCCTATACCTATCAGTGAGGCACCAAACAAATGAAAAAAGTATTATTAAAGCCATGGACCAAATCTGCAGCTGATGCAAGCCAAAAGCTCTACAGATCCTATTGCTGCATTACTGATTCACATCAACAGAAAAACCAGCTACTGTTTATTCCCATAAACAACTGAAAGGGAAAGGTTCATACAGATAAACGTTTGCATTATCCGAGAACACACTACACTCCATGTCCCTTATACCTGGTCTGCTCTGAGATGGACAAACTTTGCCTGTACAGTGACATAACCATATGCACCCTTAGATGGTTGCCATATGACACAGATTAATACTTTTCACTGCAGAAAACAGGCTGTTGCCTAAAAGGGAACGCAGACAAATCCTTCAAGTAGTGTAACAACTTTGAAAGGGCACTTTGCACAGCACAAATGTGATTCTCCTGCCTGCCTTATGGCTTGTGTTTAACTTTCTCTAACAATTAAGCAAATTAGAAGGCTGCTGACTGAATCCAGGCCTCCCAGCAGCTATCCAGGTGCCTTAGCCAGCTCAGCTGCTAAATCCTGCAGCTTGGCCTGTCTGACTATAAGCTGATGTGGGGGCTTTGAGAATTAAGAGTGGTTTTGTTTATGCATTCCTTCCTCCTGCTGTCTCTCTTCAGAGCTGATTTTAAATCTTTTGGGAGACAAGCTATTTGAAAGGCCTAGTTTCAGTTTCTAATGACAACATTTCACTAATCTAGAGATATAGGACATCGTTAGGGTTCAAAAACAAAGCTGTTTTTACACTTCCCAGAATTAGCACCCTGGTCAGCAGTGGGAGGCACCCACCTCTGGCACAATAGCACATCATTTCTACTCTAGAAACAGAGGGCATAGCACTTACAAGCCCCAGACATGAGGACCAAGCACATCTAGTACTGGTGCCATATAAACTGGCTTAAGCAGACAGATGACAGCATCAGCATCACTTAAAACAATTAGAGAAGGTGATGTTTTACCTGGAGACTGCTGAGTTCTCTCCATGCACCCAAATAAATTGAATTTACTTTCAGTTTATTGTTGCTCAAATATAATTCCCGCAGCTTTGTCATCCCAGACAAAGTTCCTTTTGGGATGATGCTTATCTCATTCTCCTTCAGCTTCAGAATCTGCAAGTTCTTTGGAAAGCCAAAGGGCACCGTGTTGAGGTTGTTTCCAGAGAGATCCAAGGACTTTAGTTGCCTTAGTTTGCGGAAAGCCTCCCGGTGGATCTGGGGACTTTTGAGCTTATTGTAGCTCAGGTTCAGCTCTTCAAGGAAGTAAGTGGTAGCAAAGTCATTCCTGTTAATCTCAGAGATCTGGTTATGAAGGATCATAAGTGTTTTCACTCGCCGGGGCAGCCCACTGGGAATCCTTTCCAGCATGTTGTTGTACAGGTGGACAGTGTGCAGCTTCTTTAAGCCCTGGAAGGCTAGTGGGTGAATACCTCGGGCTTTCAATTTGTTATTGTGGAGCAGAAGATACTCCAGGTTCTTAATTTGGGTCAAGACATCTCTGCCAATCACTTTAATTGCATTCTTCTCCAGGTGAAGGAGGACGATGTTTCGAGGTAAACCACTTGGGATTTGTGAGAGGTTATTGCTGGACAAATCTAGATATTCCAGACTAGACAATTTCCTTGGGAAAGCAGGAAAGAAAACACTCTCCATTTAGATTCTGCAAGGTGAAACAATAACCAACTTCCCCATAGATTTTACAATCTCTGCTTTAGAGTCTTTTTACCCAGCACAGCTCCCACTGCTGCCCTTTTTGGTCTTATGTTGTGACTGATGTAGGCAGCAAAACAAGGAGCCATGAGGGATTAGGACTAGGTGCTGCCATTGCTCCCCAGCCACACTTGCAAGAGAACCTGCTAGAGTCCACAGACATCTAGCTTGCCTCTGGGCTGAGACCTGAGATCAGTTTTGTAGTCTACTGTTCTCTCATTTGACACCACAGATAGCAACATGTGAGCAATTTCAGTGAACCAATACCACAAGAAAGATGCTATGGGAGTGTCATTAGAACACAGAATTTAGCCCTTGGTTGCACAGAAACGTAGCCTGAGCATGAGTCTTTCTGTCACTCTAAAAGTGTATATTAAAGGTCTGCTTTCCAGATGATAAAATATTACTCTTAGGAAAAGCAGAAATGCTCAATTCAGTGGCCTAGGCTAAGATGGTGAACTTCTCCTGACCCTCCAGCATTATGAAGTGAGTCAGGGCTAGAGCTGCTTTGTGTAAGCTACTGAATCTGGATTCCATGGACTCAGTTGAAGCTAAAATAAATCCCCAGACCAGCCACTTATACCAACTGGATGTGGATCAGTGGTGTTTTATGCCAGGATTGAGGAGCCCTCCCTGTATTCCCTTCTATTTCAAGTCAGTTTCTCGGTTCAAATGAGGCTTTTAATCTGCACATGGCACTACATAACCCACTACAGATGACTAGAAAGTTTTCAGAAAATGCAAGAACTAATGCATTACAGACATTACTTACTGGTTACTACACTGCTATTCACGACTATCCAAGCATGCTCTGAATGAGCAAATAATACTCTTTGGATCAAGCAGTTCATTGCTGCAAGCTGAAATGCTTTCCCTGCTTGGGTAGGTCTCCGAAGCTCTATGCCGTGGTGTACAGTCAGCATCATGAGAGCAAGGAGCAAAATCCACCCCTCTGCTGTGATTGGTGCTTTGGCTATAGCCTTTATCGAAATCTTAACAGAAACGGTATGTCCAACATGACGTGGAGGTGGACACAATACAGCCATGGTAAATCGTTAAAGGAGGTCTCTGGGAGTGGGAAGTGGAAAAGGAAAGCACAGTCTGATACATTTTCATGCCTGGACATTAGAAAAGTTTACAGAATTTATGGGCAGGCCAGATTACGTGACTTGGATGCTCAGGTGGAAGAAGGGCAGAATTCAGTGCAGGCAGAGACACCGTTAACTTTTTGAAGTGCTAAGTCCCAAGCTAAATTTAGGACAGCCCAAGGCTATTTCTGTTGCACTAGTTTGTAGCAAAGCTTTTGCAGCCATCTGGCTATTGAGCAGCACCACTGCACCCCTGCTACGCCAACAATCATCTGCTTTCAAGTCATCTTCCCAGAAACACAGAAGTGGCTTTAGCAAAGATGAAGATCTGGCCTTAACTTCCAATGATCTGTCCTTGAAACTGGAAAGTCCCAAGTAACATCACTTTTGACTAGTTTGGAAGACCAGAGACCAGCTTTCAACACTGTTCTGGGCGGCCTTTTCCCAGAAGGCACTCAGTACCTGGTGTGATTGGGTCTGTGGCAATCAGGGAATGGTGCGGGCTGATGTTCAGTGTTGTGTCTTTTGTATAAAAGTATTCTGCAGTGGGAATTCAAACCACTGACCCAGACCCTTGCTTTTGAATGGCAGCATCTGAACCTAAGACTTTTCATATAGATTTTGCAGAGGATTGTGTAACATCATTCAGCTTTTAATAAATGTACTTTTTAAGAGATACTTTGCTCAGTAGATGTACTACTGTACCAGAGGAGGTAGAAGACACATAGGTACAAACTACAGATCTCAGTCTCACCAGAAGGTTTCATTGTCCATTCCTTCATTTGTCAAGTAGTTATTCTGTAAATACAGCTCCCGCAGACCTGTGAGTTCACTGAAGGCTCCTTTGGGAATCTTCTCCAGCTTGTTGTTCTAGAGCCACCAGAAGCACAAAGTACATTATTTGGCGTGAAACGACACAAGACATTCAGGTTCTGCTCAACTAGCATCAGGCAATCAAACTTCAAAAGGGCCAGATGTAAGATATTTCAGGGAGCATGATAATTCTGCTTAAGAAATAAATACAAATACTAGACTGAAATATTGCAAGCTGCTTTTATTGATTCCCCATGGAAACTTTGGGTTAAGAAGGTAGAATTTGCCCCTGCCTCCCAGATAGTTTTATTTTGTATTCATAGCCCTCCCACCTATGTGCAAATGTATAATGTGATCCAGGGAACTACCTCTGGAGTTTGCTCAAGATTTCTGGAATTTTTAAGACAGATTTCACCGTAAAGAAGAATTCAACTGGGAGCTGGGAACCTGCCACCTTCCCAAATATTCCAAAAGGTGCAGTTCCTGCAATGTAGATCCCAAAACAATTACTTCTATTGCCTTAGCATCACTCTGGAGTAGCGAGTGGGCAGACATGAACAAAACAATCCACTTAGAAATTCCATACAGAAACTGTAGGAATTATAAAAGGATATATAAAACACTGCCACTGAATTTGTTAAACTTCCCCCAATCCATGTATACACAAAAATGTAGTGGACAGACTAACTGGATTCATGTGCCAACTAATATAAAGTGGACAACATCACAGACAGATTTGGCTGTCTCAGTGAACAGTGAAAGAAAAATCGAAGCTCTGCCACATCTGAAGTACACATTTTGGACACTCTTGGTCCACTACTGGCCATCTCTCATTTCTCATTGTCCTGTTTTTTTCTCAGTCGGAATATCAAAGTAAATGTTACTACTGAGAGGCAGTGCACATGAAAACAAAATGCCCATTTCTCTCTTCAGCTCCTCTGCCCTTAACACAATTGGTGGCAGCAGGGAAGGATATGAGTTCAAAGTGTAATCCTCAAAGGCTGAGACCCCTTTGGGAGACAATAATCCCCTATAAATGGCAATACAATGCAGGGGACTAGTGACTTCACACTTTGCAGAGAATTCCAGGAATTTAAAGGATCAGACTGTTTGCCTTTACTTTTCTTCAGGCTGGAGAAGCCTCTTTTCTAGAAGACTTTAATGGGAATTAGCGGTGAAACCTTCGAGGGAAAAGAAAGCTGGGAGGCAACACAACTGCCTAAGTTCGGGGCTGATAACAGGCTCCAGTCTACACACGTCCAAGGAGCTGTCAACGCTTGGAGAAGTAGAACCAGGACTCCCCACTGCTACTGCTCTCCCACCATTAACAAGGCTGAGATCTCTAGCACAGACATGATGAAGTGTTTTTATCAAAATCAGATGACATGGAATTAAAAATGCTGGAGACTACTTAAGACCACAACTTCTGCTATTTGCACTATCGCTGGAGAAGCTGTAGTAGCGAAGAATCACCAATCCAAACTTCCTCTGTGTCATCTGAATCGCCAGTTTGGTAGCAAAGAAAAACCACGGATGCTAGGAAACAGCAGTCTGTGCGAAGTGAGTTAGCAAGCAAAGCCAGCCCACAGTGGGCAAGCAGCTGTCCGGAAAACATCATCATCAGTGGCAAACTTAAGTGGGAAGCCAACAACTGGATGGCCATAGAGAATGATCTACCTTCTTGCAATAATATGTATTAATACCATTACATGCAGGGAAGAGGCCAGCAATGCCACCACACAGGCACTGGCAACACATTCCCCTGAAAACAGAAAAGCATTTTGCTCCCTCTGAGCATGTGTTTTGCAAAAACAAACTGTTGCTTATGAACAAAAAGCAAGGCCATGGGAGACAGCTACTGTTGGGGATATAGCAGACAAGACTTGCAATGGGCCTGGGAATGTTTCCAAGTGCACTGAAATGGCTTGGCTGTACAAACACAGTACTTTGTCACAGTCATAAAAGAATACAAAACCTTGCTGTCATTACCTTTAAGTGTAATTTATATAGTGCTGGAGGGAGATTCTTTGGAACATACTTCAAGAAATTGCTGGACATGATGAGTATCTCCACATTATTAGAGCCATTGAACATATTATCAGGTAACCCAGCATCTGAAAGTTTGTTGTTGTGAAGATACACAGATCTGTTGGAAGGAGAAAAAAGATGAAGTTAAACTGACAGTGAGATCGGGGTGTGGGGGGAGGTGTTTACCATGAGAGGGCTGTTTGAAACCTGTATTTCAATCTTTTCCTCTTTCCTTGAGTTGATTCAATATGGTTTTTAAATGTGCCCTTTAATTCAGTAAGGAATACAGATGCAAAACCAAAAGGTTGGTCCAAATACTCTCTGAAATTTAGCTCTATTCAAAATCCAAACCTGCACATGAATACTAATTTCACATGTAGCTTTATCTTCTTAACAAGAAACTGAGTGCAAGTCTGGGATTGTGCAGTGCTTTGAAATAGAGAATGTCAGTGTGGTGGCCTCATGTGAGAGGGTTAAAACTCATATCTGAATAATTGATATGTCCCCAGTTTTAACTTCTGCTTGGAATCAAACCTCGGCAAAATCAACCTGCAGATCTCTTAAGAAAGAGATGTCTCTCACCCCTCCATTCTTTCTGTTTCCCTGACAGCTGGAAATACCCCAGGAAACAGGTTCTCTTCTACTCCTGGAACTCAGGCAAAGAATACCGATAGGAAGAGCAGATTTCTCAATCTGGAAGAATTTGGGTTTTGAATGAACCTTTGGGATTGACAGAAAGAGGGCTTCTTAATCTCCTTTTGCTCTTCTTACTTTCAGCCTTTAATATTCAAGGAAGAGTTCCTCCAATCAGATTTTTAAGAATGGATTTGTTCTTTCTTACACGGGTTTTATTTCTGCATAAAGCAATGGACATCTATGAAGTTATTCCTGCTTTTCTTTGGTTTTAACTGCAAAAAGAACTCATTTGACCTCTTATTAACAAAAGAAATGACAGGATTTTACTGACTTTGATTACCTCTTCCTTCCCTGTGCTTACCCCAAGATGCAGCAAGCCCCTAAACTTGCAGAGACAGGTTAAAATTCCAAGAGCACAGTGTCAAAGTGTGCTTTTCTAACTTGATCTTGGATTCTTTACCAGTTGCAGAGAACTTGGCAACATCTTTCTGGAAGGAAGGAAAGGCTCAGTATGGAAACACAATCACGTGATCACACCCTCCAGGGAGTTCAGAGCCACACTGAAAATATTGTTCACCCTGCCTGGTCAGCTGTACTTTTACTCACAAATATTTGCCTTTCCTTAAACCTTGCTTTCCAAATAATCCATCTGAGACCATGAACTCTACTGAGGGCAAATAAACCAACTGGAACAACTGTGTTTGTTAGGGTTTTATATCAGCAATCTTGGAAATCAATGAGTTATTATTCTGATTAAAAGCAGTGTTGGTATAGGAGAGTGTGAAAGTCACTTCAGAAGAGTGCAAGAATTTTAGTACACGATCAAAACACAGCAGCTTCTGCAGTTTAGATAAAGAAATAACACATGTATAAATCTAACTTCTTTCATGATGAGACGCTGCCAGGAATCGGTGAGCAAATCAGCCTTTTCAGCTACCAAGAGCCTACCAGACTAAAGGCCAAGTAAGTTCAGTGTAGATTCAGCTCTCAATGAATTCAGTGGGAATGGAAAGTTCTTCAGTTCATCACAAGACTGAGCTCTAGGAGCTCAACTGGGTCAGCTATTATTAACTGCTTCCCAACCTGGATGCGTACATTGCTACCAACAGAGTCTGAGTTGTCTTTGCAGGATTTAGATGCTGTGGTGTTCTTATGGATTACTCAAAACGCCTTTGGAAAAGACCATATCTCACAGGAGGTCATCTATGTGGATCTGAATTTGAGAGGGGCCAATGTGCTGCACTGGATCCAGCTGAGAAAATCACAACCTGAAACTAGCAGAGAGACCTTTGAAACCACACCTGAGGGTATGAACCACTCTGAAGGTGCTGAAGTGCTTAGCTTTAATATAGTTGAGTACTGCAAAGTGCTGTACTCTCAACCTGATTCCATTTTAAAATGAATAGACTTATTATGAAACTAGGGATTTCTAAACAGTTCATCTCCATTTTGAGAAACTCTTTTCAACTCATAACTGACACACAAAGAAAATGGAGACAGTTCAATTTTTATCTATGAAAACTGCTTGGCAGCTAGGAAAAGCCCTTGGAATGTATTTGTTTGAGAGATTATTTGATCTTTCATGCTGAGAATAACAAACAGGCAGCTTCTTTCCAAAAACCATAAGTAGGCAATAACATGGTTTAGCCAGATAGTTCTTATCACTCACCAACTGCATCCAGGCAGTGGCAGAACACCGTCATTGTTTTACTTCCTGACCCCTTACCTCAGGTTTGGTTTCTGTCCAAAAGTGAGCCCATAGATCTTAGTGAGATAATTGGCTGCAAAGTCTGCACTGATCAAGGTGCTTGGTAGGAATTTTGGAGCCACTGTTAGCTGTAAAAGAAATATACAGGAGTATTCCCATGAAATGCAACAAATCTTTTAACCAATGATTAGACCAGCAACAAAACACTTGCAAATTTATTTTCTTTAAACAGGCAAAAATAAATGAAACTGAATGCAGACTGCATGAATGAAAACAAACTGTCCTCATTCACTAATCTCTCCAGGAAGGAGACAGACTTTTGTTCCAAGGTAAGTGAATGTTTGTTTTGGTTGGAGGAGTCTTCTTTTTGATGGAAGAAATCAAGAAACTGTTATTCAGAGAGCACTTCGCTTATTATTGTTCCTAATTCTTCAGCCTGCTGTGCCAAAATAATCCAACCCACCCCACAGTGGCCTACTATTTACCCTCTTATCAAAGTATACTATAGGGGAGGAGTGTCACTTCATATGTCTGTTCCAATATAGTATCTATTTATGATGATGTTTTCAATGCAGGATTCAGGGTCTCAAAGGGCAGGGATGCTTCTGAGCCAAATGATGGAATAAGCAAACAGGACTTCAAAGTAAAGACCTACTGTACAGTGGTACTTTGTTCATTAAACAAGTGATGTATCAGAAACAACACACAGAAAAGTCCTGTCTCCAGAAGCTGACAATTGACAAGAGGATTTGATGTGTTTGCTCTTGGTCTATTGCTATTTTTGTCAGTGATTTTATAAAATATTGCTAAGAACATCTGCATCTGAACAAAAACTGGTGGAGTGAAAAATAATGATCAAAAAAGCTCAGTCTTACAGAGCACCTCTATAATACAATAGCTCCATTCATTGAGTGGCTGCTAACAGCAAACCTAGAAACAAGAATAGAGGTGACAATACATAAGCTGGGGGACAGCATAAACCTAAAAGATTTGTGCATCACGATTAAGCCCTTGGGAAACAAATTATTAACACAGTGCTGTAGTAGGCATGATCCTGGAGCCCACAGCAGTAGGCAGGTGCCATTACCACGGTTACAGATGTTAAGTATAGTACTAATGAGACCACGCTTACTGCATTTTACATCCACTCTGAAGGGCTCTGGAGAGAACATCTTTTCTAGGGAGATTCTGAATTCTTTGTCATTTAAAGCTTCGCAATCAGGATGGGAAACTCTGGGCAACGGAAGAGATCAAGCATCCTAGCTTGAAGTTGTTTGAATCTGTAAAGCTTCCCCCTCACAGCACTGTTGCATGAAGCAGAGCTCAGCCCTTACAGCCAGCAAGGCACAGCAAGGCTCACATGATGAGGAAACTTAGTTTTCAAGCTTTTATTACCATAAAACTGCACTTGGTTATTAATAATATTGCAAACTGAGAAATACTTAAAAGATGAACAACGTGTGAGAGAACAGACACTTCACTGCCTAACCCAAGCCTTGAACTACGCACTTACCTAAAGGTTGCCTAGATCTGTCTTTACTCATTTGCCAAGTGTCAGTTGAAGGATTATATCCATGAACTCGCAATTTACTGGACTCATAATACAGTCCTAGCTTTTAAAAGATTAAAGTACATTATTTACTGGTTTTCATGTTTACCTGTGCCAAAACCTCCATCCTTAAGCTGCGTTAAATGTTTAATGGTCACAAACACAAGGCAGATCTTTCCCACAGTCACGCTCCTATCAGTGTTTCTAGAGAGTATGTAAGCAGTGGCAATAGGCATTTGACATATTGCTACAGGTGCCACAGTCCTGCTCTTGGCTTTGGTCGGAATCTCTCAGCTCCTGATCTGGGAGACACGATTTCAGGGAGGTGGATAAAGGCACCCATCTCTGACTAGGAAGGTCTGGCAGTGCCTCAGAATTAAAACACTGCCATGACATAATACTGGGAATTCAGACACAAGAAACAGACTTAATCACTTTCATACTCAGTGGCACATGAAAGCTTTTCTCCATAAACACGGTCTATTAGGTCGTAACTTTTATACATAACAAAGGGAATGGCTCAGATACGTGAAATGAGAGCCATCAGAACCACAAGAAAGAGGAAAGAGAGAAGTTTCATCCCAAAAGAGTTTTCACTTCCTCAGGACTTTGCTTTGGCATTTCAGCACTTGGTCATGAGACTAATCCATCCTCACTGTCTGACTGCTTGAAGGATTAGTGCTGGATTGCTGCAACTGTTAGCAAAAGTGAAGTGACAGAGCAGCTTTGCCTAGCACATTGCCTAATCAGTACCAATCTGTTTTTCTCCTGCTGCAATTATCTTGCAGCTTTATGGCTGGATCTTCCATTTCATAATGCAGATAGTGTTTCTCTACTGTTAACTAATGACTTAACCAATGAACTCACAAGGATTATACGAAAGTTACTGCCAGTTTTAGAACAAGTTTTCTTGCTTCTAACAAGCTTTGACAGAAGTACTGGTCCAAGTGAATCCCAAATCACTCTGGGGATATGGGGAAATGTAAGACCTTCTGTCACCAAAATCATTAGCTTATAGTAAATAATAATGACAGCTCAGGACCTGGTCGACAGTTTGGTGGAAGAGACTTCTGCTATTAACAGGGCTTAGTGTGAATGTTATGTAATAGATCCAAATTATGAGAGTGGGCTGAAAAATTAAAAAGGAAACTACAGAATCCATTCATTCTCATCTTTGTCTTGAAGTACTTGTTACTTGTAAGCCACAGAAGGCTTTTACTCTGTTCTATTTCTTTTCTCTGACCAAATATGCTAGTTTAACAGCAGATATTTTAGCTACATCCGATGGGATCACAATTGGAGATAAAGCAGCATTAAAATGATCCATAAGACAAGGAGCAAACTACCAGCAAATCCCTGCTCTCCTCCAGACACCACAGTTACTTAATCTGCAGTGTTTCCTGCTGCAGAGTGGATGCAGTTTGAAGTCAATCTGGTTTGTCCTGGCTTGGGGCTTACAAAGAAATGTGTTATTTTTGTGGGTCCACAACTTCTCAGTATAACTAGTTCTGACATTCGCTGATGTTTGCATTTTCTTTTGGGATCCTTTTCTCTCTGCAGTAAAGCCAGAAAAACCAAATACATTGTTCTGTCACACAGGGAAAATTGGAGTGCAAAGTTCTGGAATATTAGTCACAGTCTGGCTTGTTCATTTTTATGGAGTCCTTAAGTGCCAAGATTGTTATATGGAAATGGTGCTTGAAAGGGAGAAAAGAACACAATGTTACTGTACTGAGGAATGGGTTCTATTCTCAATCACTCTATACAGAAATCTGTGGAGTGATTCTGGATGTGTCTTGGCCTGACTGAAACCTGAATGTGGGCTCATGTATATAAACAAACCATGAAAAGGTCACAGATTTTAAGAGGATAATAAAACATATATACAGACATGCATATAAGTATATATTGAGAGAGAGAGACAGAGGGATGGAAGGGTTTTGTAGACAAAAGAACCTCTGTCTTGATGTTTTAACTTATATTTCTCTGTGGCATCCCAGTTTCTTCTGTAGCAAATATTTGTGGACAATCACTGGGGATAAAGAAAGCCATAATGGGAACCACCCGGATGTAACTGTATATGAGAAGTTATTTCATTTCCTAGGCTTGGCAGGAAAGATGGGCTTCTGTGAGGACATCCAACTTGGGTCATTAATAGAAAAGCACCTAGGATCTTCTCCATTAAAACAGAAATCCAGCTTCTACCACTGCAGCTAAAAGAAGAAATTCATAACTTGCACGGTTTCACTGCATGTGGATATCCCCCCTCTCCATCAAACATAGTAAGAATGGCAGTCAGGGAAAACTGGATAGATTTTTATCGATCTTGATGGCTAAACCACTGGGATGTGTTTGCTCACAGACTCTTTCAACCAGCCTCCTCTGATGAGATATGAAACCTATGTAGCAATAGGACAACAAGGAATGGGTTAAAACTTAAAACAGGGGAAGTTCAGGTTGGAAATAAGGAAGAAGTTCTTTACTGTGAAGGTGGTGAGGCACTGGAACAGGTTGCCCAAAGAAGTTGTGAATGCTCCATCCCTGGCAGTGTTCAAGACCAGGCTGGACAGAGCCTTGGGTGACATGGTCTGGTGTGAAGCGTCCCTGCCCATGGCAGGGGGTTGGAACTGAATGATGTTAAGGTCCTTTCCAACCCAAACCATTCTGTGATTCTATGAATACCCCCCAGATTATATGCATACAGGCAGCTACCACATCTGCACGCAGCTGTACCAAAACCTACTGCAGACAGTGGTAATTTATAAATACAGGGGCTCCCTGTACCTCCCTACATACAAGGAAAACCCTTCACCAGCTGCACACATAAATCAGTGTTCAAAATACACTGGCACGTGTACCCTCTAATCTTTTAGCATACTGATTGTCTTGACCTTAGATGAACCTGCATTAGAATATCACTTTAGCGCAACTGTACTTATGTAGCATGTATTTATTAAAGGAATTGAAGACTTGCTTGTTTAACTTTCAGAACCTAGTTAGAAAATAACTACGAAAGCCTTGTGAGTCTCTTACCTTATTGTTTGCCAGGTACAGGTAATTCAGGTTCTCCAGATGCTCAAATGCTTCCTCTGGCAACCCTTTAAAACAGGAATAACTCGTCAGAGACATCAGCACCTTCTTGCCTCTCTGACTGAAGATACCAGAGGGCAGCTTCCTCTTTCAGATATTACATTTAATGTGAGATTTAAGTATTTTTCAGTGCCACTGAAAGACCTATTGTTGTCTCTGTTTTGGTTTTTCAGAATTAAAAACAAGCAAACAAAACACCACCACCAAAAACCCCCACAGACTGTTAATAGTAATGGAAGACCATTAAAATCCTAACTATGGAAGCATTTTAATTTGGTCTGTGGCCAATCCCAGTGGCAAGGGTCAGGTACAGAGCTGTGCTGACTCGGTTGTAAAGCTGATTATCTGTGCTCACAGCACCATGCTATTGAGAAGTTGGTCATTTGCTCATGGATCAGCCAATCTTTTTTCTTGGAAGGGCATAATCTGAGGTTGTTTAATGATCAGATCAGTCTGATCTATGACCATGATGTTACCAAAGTAACATAACACCTGCATGTCATAACCTGTCTCTTGTTCTGCTCTGCCACGATCCAAATAGCCATGCAGGAACCCCCTCAGACAGCTGATCCAACTTGGAGCTTATCATCCCCAATAATTATTAATTTTCTGCTGAATCACTCCACATCCAGCTGATCACAAAAGCACAATTGCTGTCACAATGGGAAGGCTGCAAATAACATTTTCACCTGGCACTTAGATAATCGTAAGTCAAAGGTGAAGCTATTTCCCATGTCAAAACATACTGGAAACTCAGGGCTGCACTCAAGCTTGGGAAAGAAACACCAAGCCCCAAAGGTGATAATGTCAAAGTCTGAATCTATTAAGCACAGCCTTCCTTGTGCTATGTATAAGTGCCATGTTTTGGGTCCTATGCATAACATTCCCACATTGTCAATAAAGGCTGTTTTCTGTTATTGGAATAAGGGTAGCAACAGCATTCAGAGTAACTGGGTGACACACAAGTTAACCACAATTACAGCTTTTGTATTGCATATCCTCTTAATATTTATTCCAATTCCTCCATTTCTTTTGCTTTCCTTACTAACCCCTTGGCGAATTTCTCCAATACGCCTATGACTTAGCAAGCAAAACCTCCCTATACTAATCAAAATGGTTTTATAAGGGCAGAAGTTGCCTTATTTGCAATATATATTACTTGTATTTACAACAATTCAACAAGGACTGAACTGGACTAAACTGCACTGACTGACTAGCCTGAACCAAACAAATGGATTAAGAAACAAGGTCAGTCACAAGGAAATCATTCAGCATGTAGACATTTCTGGGTCTCCAGTGCGCTCCATTGATGTGCCTGTGTGACCACAGGGAGTTTCCTGGATGAGAAGGCCTCACGCTGCAGTACACAGTGCTGCTGCCAGGTCTTCTCCACTGGTTCAGTAAGGCTGCATTCTTACACACTGAGTATTATGCTTCAGATGATAAAGTGCCTCCATGACCTGTGTGATGGCCAAAGGAGTGAGGCTTATAGCTAACTACTCCAACCAAGTTAATCCATCACTCTCTGGCTTTCCTTATCAGCTGTCACTGGCCTCACTGCATAAGTTGGTGCTGTGGAGGCTCTGTCCACTTTGTGGCTCTGCTGGCTTACCTTTCGAAGTTAGCCTGTTGTTTTGCAAATTGAGCGTTTCTAGTCTGTAAAGCCGAGCAAGCTCTTCTGGAAAGATTTCTTCTATCTGGTTATTCTAAGAAAATGGAGAGTATTAATCACCAGCAAAGTAATCCAAGAAGGATCCCAACAAACCCAGACTGTGAACTCCAGTGAAATCTGGAAATGAACCCACCGTATCAAAACACTCTCAAGACTTCACTCCACAGTGAGCCAAACTCAGATGTCAAAACCAAGACATCCAAACCCAGCAGTGTTTGAAGGCCTGAACCAAGCTTTGTAACTCGTGCTCATCACCAGAAACATCCGGCTTATGCACTGGCAGCACAGAACCAGCGTGACTGTGCCGGGCAAGGCCTGCAATCCATCCGCCACAGCCAAACCTCATAGCTGCAGCAGAGCATTCGCTAAAAGGTTGGCACCATGGATTTCCAAGTTTATTACTTGTTATTTATGGGTTGTTTTAAAAACAACTGTTCATGGGCAAGGAGAGCCAAACTGGGCTCACTTTTGCTGGTTAACTGCCATCAGAATTTTATTAACATGCTGACTAACATTTTTGACCATTAATGAGTGATTCTAGTGTTTCAGCATCTAAGGGACCAGTTAAGAACCCACCATGCATAAAGCCAAGCCAATACACAGAAAGTGACAGCTGCTGCTCCAAAAAGCTTCTTTGCTTTTGGCAGCAGAGGCAGGAGCCATGGCTAGCACACGCCTGGGACAGATCTGCTGAGGAAGGTGCCAGCTAACATTACAGCTTCTCTGAGTATGCTGCACTCAGAGGGAAAGCTCTGAACAAAATCTGCATTCCACCCATTGAACAGAATTGGCAAATAGGAGCAATAAACAAAAAGCAGTTGGTTAAAGGGCCAAAGAGGTATTGGAAAGCCTGGAAGTGCTGCCACTGCCCAGAGGAAGAGGAACACCCATAGGGCTGCCATGCTGTGGCCCTGCTGAGACCCTTGGGTCTCAGAGCGCAGGCAGGGACAGAACACCTGCCCAAACGCTGGTCACAGTGATCATTTAACTAATGACAGAGCATGGACACCTGCTGAAAGCTCAGGACAGACTGCTGCTTCTACCTGAAATCCCATATCCACACAGGACCTTATCCTGACAAGACATGGCGTCTCTGCAGCAGAACCATTTGCTGCAGGCATGGCATTAGTCTCCCAGCCGCAGGCAGGACAGCACCAGGCAATGCCATGTGGTGATGGATGGCTTCGGCCAGGTTGGACAGGCTTGGAGCACCCTGCCCTAGTGGAAGGTGTCCCTGCCTATGGCAGGGGGTACGAACTGGATGAGCTTTAAGGTCCCTTCCAACCCAAACCACTCTGTGACTCTGTCACAGCTGCTCCTTGCCACGTCTGTGTGCTGGGTCTGTCTCTGGACTGGTGCACGGCGCTCACATTTCTACCAGCATGTAGCGCTGACAGAAAAATTCTCAGTAATGAAGTGATTTAGCCCATCCTTTTCAAAGGCACATCACCAGGAACAGTAACTATGAGTTTGACCATTCCTTTTGTGGAGCTGAGAGAGAGGGAGCAGAAAATGTTCCTGTCTTGCTCCCTCCCTTGATCTGTGGGGAGAGAATTACTGCTGATACCCATGTGCACGTCAAGCACCAGCGCTGGGCCTGCTGCACCTCCTGCCTCCCACTCGAAGCCGAGGAGCTGCCGGAAGAAGCGGGAAGGAGCCGGGTTCGGGTCAGAGGCCCCTGAGGCGGGCGGGCGGGCGGCGTGTGGGGGTCTCGCTCACCTGCAGGGAGAGGTGGTTGGTGAGCTCGGGCAGCAGCAGCGGGAACTCCTTCAGGTCGATGCCGCCGCAGTCCACGACGCCCTCCTGGGTGCAGCCGCAGTCTCGGGGACAGGCTGAGGCTGGGGCCGGGGCCGGGCCGGGCGGACGCCGCTCGGGGAAGTCGTTGCGGGCGGCGGCGGCGCAGCCCAGAGCCAGCAGCGCCAGCAGCGCCCGGCCGCCGGCCGGCATCGCCCCTGCAAGCGACACCGAGCAGCGCGGTCAGCCCCGCAGGGAGGGAGGCAGGCACCGGGAGCCCGGGTTCCTGCTCCCCCGGGTGCTGTCGCGTCCTCTCAAAGCCCGTGTAGACGAGGCCCTCAGTGACAGGGGTTAGTGGTGGCCTTGGCAGTCCAAGTTGGACCCGATAAAGGTCTTTTCCAACCTCCATTCTATGATTCTCTCAAGGTGGTTTGGGGGCCTGGCAGCATCCCCTGCACCATCCCTGACTCCTCAGGTCATTTACTGCTTTTTTATATTGAGAAACACCAGATGATCCCAAAGGTTTATGGAGGAGGTTGTGCAATGTCATTGCAATGTCACTGTCGTGCAGGGAAGGACCTCTCCTTGTGAATGTAAACAAGGCGCTGGCGGTGCTGCCAGGCTGCCTCAGGGGGGCTGCTTCACATGCCTCAAACAATAACAAAACCTCATGGCTACTGAAAACAAAATGGGCTTCCTATTGATTTTGGACAGCGCAGATCTGAACCTTAGAGGCCTGGCTGATGTTCAGCTTTTATCTTTCTGGCAGCAGGTTACAATAACTCAAACAGAAGTTGAATATCTACAGGACCGGCCAGCTGGCCCCGGTCCAGCCCCCTCGGCCTCCGCTGTTGCCCTTCTCAGGTTTCATACTTAAGGATTTGCAGTAAGGGCTGGTAATGGTTTGTCTTACATCCTTTAGCTATTCTGCACAGGAGGATTGGACAGTGATGAGAGAGTCTTATCGTTGAAGGTGAAAAAGCACAATGGATTCATGACCTTACTATGAAGTAAGTACTCTGCTCACCTCTGCCAGCCCAGGTTCCTTCTTTGCATCAGAAACAAGAACCTGCCAGAGCCACACTGGCTGTATCAGAACTAGCACGTCTCCATTCACATCCACAGGGCTTTGCTGCTTTGCACCAGCTGCAGCTGTGCAAAGACTGTGGGTGCTTGGGAAGCACTGGAGACACCCTGCTCTCAGTCACAGTCATGAACATCTTAAATAACATCTTTAAACACTGCCTTATACTTGAAGAAATGGGAGAAGGTGGCACTACAGGACAGAGCATCCTGATTCATGGATGGTTTTGCTTTGGTCCTGGTATTTGCTACCAGCATGCTGAGTGATTTTAAGCATTTAACACTGCTTGCTTGATCCCTTCTCCCCCACTCCACTATTCCACAGCCTCCGGCTGATTATAATGAAATTAATCTCCTTTATAAAACATTCCAGAGATCAGATGGTGTTCCTTATACGGCAGCTAGATATTAATAGTGAGATCAAAATTGGCCATATGAGTATGCCAACAGTGGATTAGGAAAATCATTACTATTTGGTGACCTAATCTCAGAAACCTTAGAGGAAATAATCTCAGAAAGTACAATCTATCACATTTCTAACAGAGTATTTTTTATACATATCAGTTTACCCTTACAGATACTTACAAAAGAAACTAAAGAAAGACCCCTTTTTACATGCAGGTCACAACCAGCCCTCCCACAAACACCAATGCTGTTCCCACAGCATAGTTACATCATGGTTGGTATTCGGCTCTATAGATTTTCAACAACCTGACTTTTCCACTCATAGAGGTGAAAAGATGTTAAAAAATTAACATGAAATACTGTGTCTATGGCACAGTTAAGATTTCTGAGGCAATCTCACCCCCCTGTCATTAATATGCATGCTTCTGCTACAATGCCTTTGAAGTGCATGCTGCTCCGGTGCCACAGGGAGACACTCTGGATGCAGAAACATCTGCTTGCATCTGGAGTGCAGGCACTAAAGTCAGGCACAATTCTGATTTTCTTTTAGTTCAAAGAAAGCCTGAAGTAACTCCCTCCATTTCAGATCATTCCCATGGGCCTGATCCAAAGCCTTATTTAAGAAGCCTTACTAAAGATGTAGCTCAAAACCCACCTGAATGAAAGAATCAGCCCTCTTCCCTTGCTGTCAGTGGGGTTTGGATCAGGTCCTTCCACCCAAGGACAGAAGCTGCACTGAAACGAGCTCAGAGGTTGCATCTTTCTCAGCCTAGACAGAACCACGACTGATTCCTGCACTTTGCTGCCAGACAGCACCAGAGGCAGAGTGCTACAGAAGGCAGTGTCTCAAGAAGTAAGCTGAAGTTTCAGGAGTTACTGTATGCTTTCAGTGATCACAGTTACCTCAATACATCACAAAACCATGCCCAAAGTATCTCATCTCTGTACTATTCTCCAAGCCTATTCTCTCAGGACACACACAGAGATGCAAAACCATCTTCTCCTCCAAAATCAACGGGTTAAGTGAGTTTGTAACTCATATGGAATATACTTTCTAAAAGCTGCAGCTGGAAGGCAGGCTGCTGGGTGTTGTCTGACAATACAGCTTGTAAAAGAACAAATAAAGGGCTGAAAAACTCACCTTTGCTGTCAGAAATCAGATGAATGGAGAAGAACATTTCTCTTGCCCCCACAGGCTCCCGCGGCTCATGCCATGTCAGTTACATGCGCTGAGCTCAGAGCGAGTCTCCCCTTTCCAAGCCAGATCCTTTCCAGATGTGAGCAGCAGAATTAAGAGAGAGTAACAGGCAACCCTCTACCAACGAGAGTTTCCTGCACTTCCCACCGAAATCGGAGAGGAATTTTCCAAAGTCACCATATGGGAAAATGTGAGTAGGAAAGAGGAAGCAGCTATACTCTGAATATAAAGACTTGGGGAAGAAACAATCTCCCATTGCTTTTTGTCAACACAGTTTGTAAGATCAAGGAGAGATGCCAGAAGAAAGCATGCTGGAACTGACAGCAGAGCAGCACAGACGGCGTGTGCTTTAGCACTGCCTTGCAGGATACCAGAGCTGCACTCTCTGTTACTAGATGCTTAATTTTAGCCATGTTCAACACAAAATCTGAATTCCAGGTGGGAATGTCCTCCCATTCCCTGAGGGTCTGGTCCAAATTAGCCAGGAACAGACAGATCAGCAGTTTTTCCTGCATTTCATCTCCCTCCCCTTTAACTCCCCCTGGTTTTCAACCCACCAACTGATCTTTAAGGACCAGAGATAGGCTGAAACTACAAATGTCTTAGAGGCGAAGTCCCCCAGTTTGACATAACACCCCCATCTACCCAATCTCTTTATCTTCTAAGCCCCATATTACAGCGCTAAACATCAAAACAACCCTCCACTACACATACATACATACACACACACACCAGCCCTGGTCGTGTTTAGCCCAGAAGCCTCACATTTCTTATTTCTCCTTTTTTTGGCACAAAAAAAGAGAGAGGAACATGCTGTTATAACACAGTATGCTCCAAGTGCGGCAATACTTCCAAGAAAGCAACACAGCTTTTTATCACCAACAGCAGAGTTGCTGTTTTAAATCTAAAGCCACCTGCTTTGTGCCTGCCCCGCAGCGCTCCATACAGTACCTCCAGAAGACAGGCAGAGGATCTGTCCTCACCAGGAACACGACCTCCTTGCTGAATTCCAAATAAAGGGACACTGATTCTTTCCTCTCGACTCCAGCTGAACTGAAGTCTAAAGCAATCAAGTTATTTCCTCCCTCTCTTCGTCCAGGCTCATATCAACTGGAACTGATCCCCTTCTGTGCCACGTGGAAGTTTTAAAAGTTGCTGTGGGAAGTATGTTTTTACTAAAACAAAAATAATAACAAACCAAAGCTGCCTGCTTTCCCTTCGTGATTCAGAGCCCCAGGATGCATTTGCCTGCTCCCATTTCTGTACTACAGAGTCCATACCACAACATTTACAGTGTTTTCAGACAGAACAAAAACTGTGTGCTGATGCTGGGGGACCACCCCTCTGTACCCCAGCCTGCAGACAGAGAGAAGGAAGAGCAGGGTCATTACCTGGCTTTCTACTGATGTCAGAGCAGCCCACAGGAGAGGACGAGAGGTTCACCCTTCCCCAAAACTGCGTTTTTACCTGTGGTTTTGGTGTGTAAGTACACTACTAGGCTGTCACATACCATCTGGATGTACTACAGGACAATATAAAGAGGGGCATTATGCCTCCTTTAGTGGGGAAACAAGAGGCACACAAGCAGCACAACCAACCCAGGATTATCCAGCGGGACAAAGCCAATAACCAGGTGCCCCGCATGCAAAGGTAACACTCACATCCTTACACTGTGCTACAGATTACCTATATAATCTGTTTTTTTCCCAAGCTTCCACTTCCTCCACATCTTACCCTCTTACATCAACATATCCCAAACTCACAACCTGCCGTCATCCAGGGCCAGTGCTGCATTTCCATCATTAGAACCTGCACAAATTCCCAGGAAAACCAGAGCTGGAGCCAAATCTATCTAACAGTATTCTGACCCACCACTAAGGACTCAGGCAACCAGTGTTCCTGTGGTTTCTGCACTAGAGCTTTCTGATGCTTTCAGAGGAAAGAACTTCCACTGCAAGACTCACAACACAGAATTAGTTGCAGGAACCATTCCCAGCCAAACTCCAGTCTTTGTACTCTTGAATGTTCCCTGCTGATGGGTGTGAGTTGAGTGGTGGTTCCAGCCTAAATGAAGAAACATTTTCAGGTTTAAAAACTGAAGACTCAAGACAAAGCTTAAACTTTGGCATGATCACTTCTTCTGATCACATAGATGGCAGAGAAACAGGTCCTTGACCAAACAACTGCTGGCTACTCCAGTGAACAACTGGCAGCTACAGCAGACAGCATGTGCCATGGTATTTTCACAATGGGCTTGGCACACAGAGCACTGCGCAAGAATCAACCTTCTGCTCTGGCTCCATCAGAATAAAGCCGGTGATAAAGGCCAGACTTGACTACTTTAGCTCTTCTTTTTACAAGATGCTCTTGCAGACCTCAGCATAAGGACATGTCCAAGGCCAAGCTGCAGTATGCAGTACACTGTATTCCACTCCTGTAACTGAGAAAGCTGGATTACTTATCTAAGTTACACCAAGGCTGCACTTGCCCTGGAACCACAGGGTATCAGGACAGCAGAGAGGCAGCTCAAACCCATGCGACCTGCTCAGCTCTGACTCTGCAACTACTGTCACTGTCCTAAAGAGATTATAGGCTAAATTTGATGTGATACCATAAACTCAGGTAACAGATAGCCCAGTCAAGCAACAACATGGCAGAGAACAGAAGCTGTAAGTAGATGGATGAAGCATGAGCTCCAAAAACAGTTCTGCAGGCATTGGCTCACTTGTGATGAATGAGGCATGAGGCATTCAGGAGAGTTTTAGTTGCATCTTAAAAGGTATACATTGTTCTTTTACTTTATTTACCTGATTTATAATAAGACTCTACAGAAATACTGGCATTCCTGAGGCACCCGCTGCTATGCGCTGATACTGTGATACTTTCACTGCCCTTATGTGAAAAGAGAAAAAAGCCCATTAACATTCTTTTTAGTAACTTGCCATCATTTGCTTCAGAAAATGAATAATCCAAACACAAAGAATAAAAGGGATTTTTGTCTCCAAAGCAGGAAAGGAAGTATTTTTCAAACTCAAGAATGCACAACAGACCCTGGCCATGAGCCTATTGGCATCTGTGTCTCGATCCAAATGAACTTTAAGATGTCTGTTCTCCCAGAGGATATGTACTATTACAAAATAAGAAATGAAAATTCATGGCTGCTTTTAATCTATCTGAAATATGTGATACAGACACAGCATATTTTGTACTTGTTTTATACTCCTCATGTTCGTTTCAGCCTGCTGCAGCGTTATTAGGCTATTTCTATTCCTGAATCACAGAATATAACTAATATTTCCAAGAGAACCCACCCAGGGCCACATAAAGCCGTCTGCTTTTAAGTCAGCAGTGAGCTCTTCTTACAGATACAGGGTACAGACAGCTCACACTGTCACTCCAACCAATTATGCTGCTGTTTGTTTAAGTAATAAAGGAGTTTGTTCCAAACAGTTGGTTTTTTTTCCCAGCATTTGTTCTCCACATGTGGTTTGCTTCCTCAAGTATTGATTTTTCACAGTTCAGGGTTTTTTTTTCCTGCCTTTTATCCACCAGGCTAATTGCATTCTTACTCTTTTCTGTTTAATGAGAGCTGACATCCAGCTCAGTGCTCTGTAAAACAGGAAGCAATGTTATTTCCTGTTCCAAGGAGGTAACAGTTTAAACTGACCTCAGATGAATTGGACACATGGGAAATGGACAAATCCAGCCTTGTGATGAATTCAGATTTCTTCTATTGTCAGAGGGAAGATGTCATCAAGTCCCTTTGTCCCATTCTCCTGCATCCTAAAAGGGTCTGTCACCCAGAAGAATAGCTCCTTAACCCAGCTGCCACAAACCATGCTCAGCTGTTCACAATCTCCTCCCTTGAGGAAACTGATCTCTCTCTGCTGCTTACCAGTGGGATCCCAGATCACCTTGTACTTGGAAGACTTGCTTTACACAACTAAAGCCACCAGAGCCACCTGCCAGATCCTCCATTCCCCCTCTAACACCTGCAGTCACATACCCCCACGAAGTTAGTGCAGATAAGGTCAGTCCATACAACATACAGCTGCAGTAACTGCCTGCCCCCTAAACTGCCTCATCTGCCCATGGATATCACAGACTGGTTTGGGTTGGAAGGGACCTTAAAGCTCATCCAGTTCCAACCCCCTGCCATGGGCAGGGACTCCTTCCACTAGACCAGGTTGATCCAAGCCCCTGTGTCCAACCTGGCCTTGAACACTGCCAGGGATGGGGCAGCCACAGCTTCTCTGGGCACCCTGTGCCAGTGCCTCAGCACCTTCATAGTAAAGAATTTCTTCTCAGTATTTATGCTGTATCTCCCCTCTGTCAGTTGCTCCACATGCCCCCATCTACCTACAGAGAGCTCTCCTGCAAATATGCCAAATTCAGAATTCTGTAACAAATCCCTATTCATTATCCTGATCAACACAGGAACTGAGGTTTCCTGAAGCAGCCCACTTTCGTAAGGAAAGGAGCCATGTCCTGACCCTCAGCTTTTCTTCTAAAGACTCAAATTAATTGTAAGAAAAGCAGTGGTCACCTCTGAAAATACATACTGCTTCAATGTGGAAGTGTAATGTATGCACTGTACCTACTCCTGACTAGGCAAAGCAGCAGGAGTGAAACACAAACTCAAGTAAAAGTTGGAAAGTAAAATCTGTGTTCCCAAACCAAAGCATTCCCCCAGTTTCCTGCAAGCCAGATCTGCTGAGTCAGGCACCACTCTGCTCACTGGCTCCAACTCTGAAGTTGCTTCTCTTACAGCAGTGAAACATGGTTTATGTTTTCCTTCGTTATGAAAATCCCTATCTGAAAACATAACAAGAATTTATAAAAGGAAGTAAAGATAAGATAGTGGTGCCAATCTGGCATCATCTCTGCCTGTCAAATGATTAACGCATTTATCACAGCTGATGAAAACACCCCAACAAAACCAATAGCTGCAAAGGGGATTCACCAGAGTCCATGAAGGGAAGAACAACCCTCCGGAGCATTTTAATGTCTAAAGCTGAAGTTTCCTCTCATGTGAGCTTGGAGTTTGAGAGCACTGAACCCTCTGCCTAGAGGATTAGGGTTTTTTTTTCTTTATGCAAAGCCTTTGAAATCAGAAATTTAAACTCTTGTATGTTCAGTGATTGGGCACCTCTTGGTAGCTCTGGCTGCCTTTTATTCTGCCCTCAAGGAAACAAGTTAATATAAAAGAACTGCAGTAACATAAACTTTGTAAGAAAGGCTGATCTAAAGTTACCGAGGATTTTAGCTGGAGAAGAGGTGCTTAATGCTGCTTGGTCAAGAGAGCATAATGGGTTGAGGAAGAAAACTTCTATAAGGAGACTTCTAAAATGGTGCAAACTGAGGTAATCCTGTATTTGAGTAATGCAAAAAGTAAGTAAGAGAGCTTAATGTCACAATCTGCGCTGTATCACAGAGCTTTGCCCCCTTTCTCGTCATGATGAGCAGGGCAAATTATTTCTGCCCACTGTGGAATTTATTCAGTTACCAGATTCTAAGACATACAAATGTAAATTGAGGGACTGGGGTTTTTAGAAAAGACAGCCTCTGCACACACACCTCACTGCTGGAAGAAGTAGAAAAAGTGTTACCTTTTAAAAATACTCTAAGTTATGACACAGAGAAGGTGCTGAAAGTGAAGGAGCAGCACAAGACAGATGCGTTAAGTGAGACATTGACTGGCACACAGGGTAAATAGAAGACTTTGTCCTTTACTCCATCTTCTTAAGCACTGCAGGAGAAAGACAAAACTGGCAAGTTCTCTTACTCCCAAGCATACAAACAGGCTGTGAAACCTCTGCAGTACCTCCTCTAGCTACGATCAACAAGCAAAATAAACATCTAGATTTAATCTGGGATTTTCCTGTTATAATGACATGGTATCTGCAAGTGCCCAAACCTGAAAGTCCTGGGCCTGTGAAAACCCAGGGATTCCTTTGAAGGCTGGGCTTCACACTTGGGTATTCTTTCCCTTGGTAGCAAACCCCAAAGACATTTTTGCAGTGGGTTGTTTTTTTCCCTTGCTTGGTTGGTTTTCAATATTCCTGTGCGAGCTTTCCTCCCCCTTAGAAACTGATCTCAATCTGCAGGTGAGCACATCTTACTTAAACTTCTGTGGGTATGGTCTGCGATCTGTGTCAGCCTGTTTGCGCTTCAGAATTCATCTGCTTCTTTAATTAAACAGCAACAAAAACGTGTCTGTATTCAAAATCCTTGGGAAAGGCATGTTCTGAGCTGCATAACAGACATCACTAAAGCTCTCCTGCTAGTATTAGTGATTCAGGAGGACAAAGCTTGCTAATGAAAGGGTGTATCTGTAACTTTGTGCAGAGGAACAAACT